TGAAAACATTGTAGTATTCTTGCAAGGTTTTTTATGTTGTGTTTGGACCATTCTCCTAAAAACAGTGCATCGTATGCGTAAAGGAGATGTGAGATTAACGGTCCCCCTCGTGGTAGATGGATGCCTTGGAATACTCCGGATTTGCAGGCTGCTCTCATTGCGACACTTAATCCTTCCATGGCAATGATGAAGAGAAATGGTGATAGTGGGTCTCCCTGTCGGACACATTTTGAGATTTTGAACTCATGGGGTTGCCATTAATTAGGGCCGATGTATGAGATGATTGAAGACATCCATTGATCCACATTCTCCATTTGTCGCCGAAACCCATCTGCATAAGATTAGAGTCCAGAAATTCCCAATTGATAGAGTCAAATGCTTTGTCAAAGTCTGCCTTAAACAAAAGTACTTTCTTTTTGTTCTTTTTTGCCCAGGTTCAAATTTCATTCACAACCAATGGTCCGTCTAGGATGTTCCTACCCTCCACATAGGCTGATTGCACTTTATCGATACAACCCCCCACTACTTTTTTGATTCTCGTGGCCAAAACTTTCGCGATAATTTTGTAGATGCACCCGATAAGACCAATTGGTCTGAAGTCACTTAGCATTTGGGGGTCTTTGATCTTTAGGATCAGTGAAATGAAGGATGAATTGCAAGACTTATTCAATCGACCATATCTTTCGAAGTATTTTACCACCGTTGCGATATCACCAAGAAGAACCTCCTAATACTTTGTGAAAAATTTAAATGTGAACCCGTCTGGCCCCGGTGCCTTCTTGTTACCACATGCCCAAATCGCTGCCTTGATTTCCGCAAGAGAAATTGGTTCTTCTAAGTTGTGAAGGTCTGAATTTGAAAGTTTTATGAACAAGGGGTTTATAAGCTTTGGTCTTGAAGGCCATGGTTCAGTAAATTTTGATTTAATGAAGACCAGAGTCTCGCTCTTAATCTTGCATGGGACTGTACACCATTCACCGTTGATATTGATTTCGTTGTTTCTATTCATTCTATGCTTGTTATTCACGTACCCATGGTAGAACCTCGAGTTCTCATCCCCGTCTGCCAGCCATTTGATTCTTTATTTCTGTTTAAGATCAAGTACCGCCATTTTTTCTTTTTCTGCAATCTTTTTATAACTGTTTTGTCTAAGGAGTAATTCATCATTGGTGAGCAATCTGGATTCAGCTTCTGTGTCTAGTTTGTTTGCAAATTGTTTAATTTTCATAATTTCTGCCTCTTCTTTCGAGTAGTCTGTCACCCTCCAACTTTTTATTGCTTTTATAACATGTCTGAGTTTAGCAGCCAGGTAACAATTAGGGGTCCCGTATCCATTGAAGTTATTCCATGCTTTTATAAAAGTTGTTTCGAATCCATCCATCAACAACCAAGAGTTGAATAGTTTGAAGGGGGGTGGCCCAAAATCACATCAAGAGGAGGATAAGAGGATGGGGCAGTGATCTGAAAGTTCCCTTGGTAGGGTGGTCACCGATGCTAAAGGTATGAGATCCATGAATCCATGGCAGATGAAACACCCCAAAAATACGACCCAAAAATTTTGTTTTAACATTACTAAAATTCACATCATCGAATGTCATACATACTAAAAACCATAAAATGTGTAACTCAAAAGTCAAGTAACTGTGTCAAAACAAATACTGTATCAATCATATCAAGATATCTGAATAAAACTCCCAGGATAAAACTGAAACCGTGGTGTGTACCATGCCATCATCCCGAGCTCTTCCCCTTACTTGCGGAAGTACCTGAAACCAAAAACTAAAACTGTAAGCACAAAGCTTAGTGAGATCCCCCAAACTACCACATACCATACAATAACATATAAGCAACTACTGGGCCTTGCCCACTGCATCGGACCGAAGTCCGGAACTAACCAGGGCCTTGCCCTCTGCATCGGACCGGAGTCCGGAAACTGCATCGGACCGAAGTCTGGAACTAACCAGGGCCTTGCCCTCTGCATCGAACCGAAGTCCGGAAACTGCATCGGACCGAAGTCCGGAACTAACCACGACCTTGCCCTCTGCATCGGACCGAAGTCCGGAAACTAACCAGGGCCTTGCCCTCTGCATCGGACCGAAGTCCGGAAACTGACTGAACACAGCATAGCATAATCATAATTACTGGCATAAACACATATACTGCATACTGCATCAGACCGAAGTCCGGAACACATAACACAAAAACTTGCTTGAATCACAAAGACATCAAGCGCACTGAACTACTGCATCAGACCGAAGTCTGGAACTAACTGCTAACTAAACGGGCCGACATTGTGGCCGTAGACCCGTTCCTACTGGAAGGAAACTCACCTCGAAATGCTTGGTTGCTGAGGTGCTAAATCTGAGACTGTCTGACTGCTGCTCTGGAACTCCCCGGCTACAAATCCCATAAACACTAAATCAAATACTGATAACTAATCTCAGGGTAAAATGACCATTTTACCCCTGCTATGGTGTGGGTCACAAACATGGCCCCAAACCCTTAATTCCTTCTAAGACCTCCAATGGCCCACTAAAGGCCCACTAATGGCCCTAATTTCTAAATTGGGCCCAAATCTCTCTATTGGGCCTTACCCTAGGCCCAACACCTTTATAAGGCCCATATTTACTGACTTCTGATGACTCCTAAGGCCCAAAGACCCTAAGTCCAAAACACAGCCCACACCGAGGCCCAAATGCTCAAAGTCCAATCTGGCAGCGTACGCGGGGCGTACCTCTAGGGACGCTGAGCGTACCGGCTGCTGGCTTGTACGCCGTGCGTACCTCCTTGTACGCCTAGCGTACAGCCCAGTTAAGCCAACTTTCTCTTAAGTGCTTAATCCTTCGATTCAGAAACTACAATTACAGATCCACGTCTCATTCTACGTCCTAAGCCATAAAGTTGCTTACTTGATGGCTTGGATGGCTCAAGGAGGCTCAAACTTCAAAGGCAATATCCTAACTCCATAGAAATGGCTAGATCTCATGCATGGCCTCATGTAAACCTTAAAGGTCGAAACTTTATTGCTAAGAAGGTGTTTGATTCTAAAGGATGGCAATCCCAAGCTCAAAAACGAATTTTCATGATCAAGGTCCAACCTTTGGACCTAAAAATGTCCAAAACTTCAATAAATCTAGATCTAGCATATGAGGAAGAAAGTTCAGTGCTTTATACCTCCTTTTGGTGACAAAGAGTGAGTCTAGTCCAGATCTCTGAGCTCAAGCTCCTTCTCCAACTTTTGCTTTCCTTCTTCACCACTTCTTTCTCACTAAAAACTCTCACAAAGAGCAAAATCACACAAAGAGAGGGTAAGAACGAGTTAGGGTTTTCTTGTGGGTGAGGAGGTTGATAAGAAACCAGGGAGGGAGGCTATAATGGGGTTTATATAGCTCTTAAACCCCAAAATTAGGGTTTAGTGTCTGACAGCGTACGCTGGGCGTACCTTATGGTACGCTGCGCGTACTCCTCCCACAACCCGCGCATCCAATGCCACTACGCCCCACGTACAACGGGTTACGCCCCGCGTACGGCTTATGGGCAGCCTACAACTCGGCCCAAAAGTCTAAAGGTCCAATCCAAGATATCAATTTCAAACATAGCCCAACTATTCACTTAGGAAAAATTCAATTAATTAATACCTCGAAAGTAGATCGCTACAGCAGACAAGGAACCTGTCAAGTTTGCTTAGTTTTGAGCCGTTATTTCGAAAGTATGTGAATCTATGTCCCCCCATCTTTAGATCAATAAGCTCAGCTTCATGTATGAATATGTTGAAGTCGTGAGCTGTGCGAGAGCAATATGTCGAGTGAATTCTTTCATCAGGCCTCCTTACCGCGTTGAAGTCTCCCATCAAAACCCAGACTCCATCATTTTCCTTTTTTATATTGTTTAGTTCATTCCATAGCTCTGATTTATCACGAGGTGCTTACGCGCCATAAATATTAGCAAAAATAATCGGCACCTATATTCCAGACCACGTGCCAGTGTTGATTAAGAAATGTTTAGATTCTATTACCTCCCTTGATGTGAATACTCTATTATCCCATATGTTTAACAGCCCCCACCCCTCCCCCCGATCTTCCATTTGCATTTGTTCTGTTTACCCCAAAATCTTTGGACCCCCAACAAGCTGAGATATCTATTGATTCAACATCCCTCAATTGTGTTTCTTGTATTGCAAAAAACGAGACTCTATGTTTTAATTTTAGTCTTTTTCACCCATTTCACCTTATGTTCTTCCCTTATGCCACAAATATTTAAGGATAGAAAGTTCATTGGGACACAATGTTCTCACCTGATTCGCCTAGGGAATCAGCAAGCACTGGGTTTGTCGCCTCTAACTCAAACCCAATCAGACACCCAATTGCTGCTGTGATTTCTACTTCATTCGATTTCTTTGTGGTTTCTTTTACGACACCAATCGAGCCTACTGGGGATGTTGTTTGGAGGCAATTATTTGGCTGCTGATGGAGGTAAGGGTCGACTGATATTGTGGTTACTGGCACAGAAGACGCCATATTAGTGTTGTCTGGCTCGTCGCAATAGAAGGGAACGATGGCAATTATCTTCAACGATGATCCTTGGTTCCTTTTCCTTTTTAGCGTAGATCTGCCTTTGCCAGAATTTTGGTTAATTTCATCCGGGTTTGGTTTATTTGGTGTTGGGTCGGGTGTGTTAAATGGAAACAGGCCAAAGCATCCTGTTATTTCGCAGATGTCAATGATCCCAAGAACATGGAAGAGAGATTGAATGGTGAAAAGTGTAGGAATAACGTTTTGGAAATCAATATAGCAAGACATGAAAGGGAGGTGCCTAATATCAAGCCAAGATACAATCAAACTTCAAGAAATAGGCTGACACACCGAAACACATCCACTTACACTGGAGGATTTGTAGACAAAAGATCATATGCTGATGTCATCAGAATAAAGAATCAGAATGAAGAAATTCGGGTAGGAAGTAACTTTCAAACTCTGGTTTCCTTAATACCGAACGAGAATATGGAAAGATGGATTCAAAAGTCCACACTAATCGGCGTAGCCTTATCTATTGACCACCTGGGACATTTACCGGCATTGATGTCCATTTACAACGATAAAGTGGCGGACGTGAAATACCATGGGGGAATGATGGGTCGTCTTAGCTTTGACAGCAATGTGGAGGCGGGAGTGTTCCTGGAAAACAAAAGGAACTGGGAGAACATGTTCAAATGGTTACGATTGGGGAAAGAACTCGACAATATCCAGTTCGAAAGGGTAGCATGGATTCGAATTGTAGGCCTACCGATAAAATATTGGAGTGAACATATTTTTCTAAAATTACAAGAAGCTTTGGAATGATCTTTGCGCCATTCGAAAAGATTCAAGATAGGGTAGACAGGTCACGTGTTAAAATTGGTATTCTCACTAGTCAGAAGAGGAAAATAAATGAAGTGGTCAATGTTACTCTCAATCTCTCATTTAGTTCTTTGAAACAAAAAGCGCTGAAATAACTCTTGTGAGAGAGAGAGAGACTCAGTGTGGACATCACCCATAATCATAAAGTCGCAATTAATGGGTTTTATAGGTTACAAAACAATGTGCCTGCGGGATTTCACTTAACACTTAATGACACATGCAACCTAAAGAATCTATGTCTTCAACACTTTGAATGTAACATACAATGAACAACAAAACTAACATGAACCCTAATGATACCCTAGTATAATCGAAATACAAGAATTAAGGTTACATACCTCTGATTTGTTGTAGAAAACAAATCACTTCAATACCTTGTTTTTTTTGGTCTTGGAAAGCTAGCACCACAAGGATGATGCATCTAATGGCTCACACCCAAAACCATAAACCCAAGAATGAGGATGAGAAAGGAGATATGGGGGAGTTTTCATTCATATGCTTATATGTAATGTCATGAACGAAATTTGCAAGCCAAAGGGTCCTATTTATAGTTTAGGTAACTTGCAGACAAAGCAAGATTTGAATTGAGTAAATAATTAATTTAATCTCAGTTCAAATCCGTTCCTTTTATGCTATCAGGAGGCTTCCGGAAACCCTCCAAAACCGTCCATACCATGGAGGGTTCTAGAATTGCTTATAATTCATCCATTGCTCCTTTAATTAATTCTAATTAATCCCGAATCTCTATGGGCAATCTACAATCGATTCATGACAGTCTTAATTTACTACTTACTTCCAAAAGTATGAACAAATTTGGAATTTTGAATAATATTTAAATTAATCAGGAAGTAAAACATGAAAAGTGAAACACAATAATAAACTAATTGATTATGGTATCATACATATTGAATACAAATAAATCCCTATTATTTATTCACCATATCAATTATAAATTTATTCATTGTGTATTGTTTCGTGTAATCAACTAACCACTTGAGTTGAATAACATCAGTCATGCCATGTTATGAACATGCATGCTATGCCTCTCGATGATCCTTCCTTTGTGAACAGATTGACTGGATATTACTCCAATGATGCTCACTTCACAATTCCAAATTCTTATCACTATCTAAGATGTAGTAGAATTTCAACTTTACATGCATTGACATTCTGTGTTGTCGTGTTTCTAAATTCGCAGAGACCGAGCCTTCGATATTACAGAACATTCCATTGAAACTTGTTACTAGAAACAATTCCATGGTTATGAAGTCTCAAATTCAAGGCACACTCCTTTAACACTTCTCTTACATTAAAGCTTCCAACTCACATGTAGATTTAACAACCATCTCCCATTATGGAAACGTTTCCATTTTTCCATATGACCATTAATTCTAATCAAGATTCATCTCAATCCAAAACATATCACTATGGTCTGTCCTAACAATATCATACTTCCAACTGTCTACAAGCAACTAGTCTTCGGTAAAACCTCAGAATGTTCTTGATAGTTTTTAACAACTATAGTCACACACAATTTTAATACTTTTCACACAATGCTAAAGGCATTCGAAAAATTTAGAATAAATTAATATTATAGCACATGTGATCAATCATATATCCAAAGCATATGGGACTTGATATCTGTTCAATTTATTGCTATAATATTTCCCTATATCGAATCTCCTATGTTGAAACATTACAACATGATATTCATATATGTCTTGACTAAGTTCCATTAAACCATTCGATCTCAACCTTTAGATTCAAAACGAAGTATGAGTGCCATCTTCCTTAAGTCCATGATAGCAAAACAATTCTGAACTTTCCAATTTGAAAATTCGATACATTGCTCCCTACAAATAGTATTGTCAACATGCAATACTGGCATAACAATTATGCTCTCACTAGCTTTGACATGTACCTCGAAATCAACAAGACTTCTAGAAATTAACACCCTTTGACTTTCTTACAGAAGTGAGATGCTTCGATAAGTCTCCAACTAGACATCTTAAGCTTATACACCTTAGTTGGACAACATATATGTGTGTTTAAACCTTTCAAGACTTAATAGATATATCTATCGAAGATTCAAAAAAATTGTTGCCATTCCTCACAATTCGATATATAAAGAGGGATGTCGTAATCATATTGTGAATTTGAGAATGCAATTAACACAACCAATATCCATATTGATATTTACCAGATCATTATAATCTATTAGCAAAAGTATTTCCTTATAATTATTTTGATGAATTAGAGCGAAACCTTTGCGACTTAGATTTGAAGGTGCATATGTTCCTATCCATGTGGATCTTTCATTTCCAACCTACATCCATAAGACAAGGCTTAGGACAAACCAAATTCAAATTAAGCTTTCCTTCATGGATTGAACTTCACTAGTTTTTAATTTCTTGCCTTTTGGCAGCTCAAGGGCCTACCAGTGCTTCCATGTTGTTAGAAGCTCACCCATATTGACCAGTGTGCTTTCACTGAACAACACGCTTTGCTTTTCAATTTAAATGAAAAACATAAAACTCATAAGCATTGCCAACTCAACTGGAAGTGCACAAAAATTAGAATATGTCAATTAAAACCACAACATGTTTTCAACCTCAGGTTGCGCGCTAATGATAACTCAAAGGTTTATCGTCGGTTGACTCTTGTAACTCTCAAGATCAGTACAAATCCCACTGAATTTTGACATATAAGTTTCTCTCTCAAGAAACATTCCTTTACAAGCTAAAAATATATTCAAAAGTCTGTGATGGTTCCCAACAAGAAAACACTCCATAAATAGGACTCAGTTTATCTTTTGTTTCTCGATCAATGAAAACATCACAACTCCAATTCTAAATGTGCTAGAGTAAGAAAAACATTATGAATCCACATATTATGAGGTGTTATCAACATTCTTAGTTTGAAATGAGTTTTAAGATACGATTTATAGTCACTAGATCATGACTCTAAAACTTGATTTGGGAATAAAACATGACTCATCTATGATCGAACCATTGTCAACCATTTTCGATTTCTCTTCTTAGTCATACAATTGCACTAAGATGTTCTTGGAGGATCAATTGTGATACAATTACACAATTACTAAGATGATCATAAAACATGATACTAAAGCACCCTCCTTTCCTTTCAGATTGGAGAATCTTTTATCTTTTTGCCTAATAGATTCTTCCATTCGTTCGATACTCTTTGAACCATTTCAAAAGGTAGAATTTTGTTTAATCTTATAAACATCATTGTATTTACTGAAACATCAATAAATCATGACGAATAGAGTTATCGTCCCTTGTGGTGGATCCAAAGAGTCCATATCAATAGGTACTAGATCCATTAGTCATTCTCTTGTATCACATAAACATGTGAACAACGAATCAATCATAATTTTCCAATGAACAAGATTCTCATGCATCATGCAATTCGAAACCCGTTCAGACCATTGGAGTTGGCCCTGTTGCCCGTGACAGAATATTTCAGTGCTGAAGGTGATGATAGGGCTGAGCAAATTTAGCGCATACATCAGCAGGTGCGTGAACAAATCACTAACAACAACATAGTATACCAAATACGGGCCAATGTACGCAGGAAGAAGGTGGTGTTCCAGGAACGTGATCTCGTGTGGATTCACCTCAGCAAAGACAGGTTTCCGGGTGGATGAGCTAGCAAGTTGCAACCACGGGCGGATGACCCTTTCAATGTGTTAAAACAACTCAACAACAATGCTTACAAAATAGATCTTTCGGGTCATTATAATGTGCCAACCACTTTCAATGTTGCTGATCTGTCTCCGTTTCTTCCTGAGGTTGATGATCCACTGGACTCAGGGACGAGTCCTTTTGAAGTGGGGGAGGATGATGCATTCAGACCCGATCAAGATCAAGACACGGGTCCGTCTGTCTTGGGTATGGGATCCGGTTGAGGTTGGAATTGAACGGGAATCAAATAGGATTATCTTATCTTTGTTTTAAAACTTTAGTATTTTATCTTTTATTCTAGATAGTTATCATCTAGGTTAGTTCCCCTTTTAGTGGCAAACTTAGTTTATTTATTGGGGTTTTCTCCGATCGTTGGTTTAGTTTTTGTTTTTGAGTTATGAATAAAAATTGATACCCGTCTCCATCTTGCGTTTTGTGTTCACGTGCAATTAATAGGCTTAACTGCATCATTTATCCTCCTAATCATATTAGGCAATGATATATGAAATCCATTAATTCTTCCTTTTATTATCATATTTTAATTTTGACATTTGTCTTGATCTAATAAATAGAAAAATAAGTAGGAATAAAAAATAGGAAAATATTTGATTTATCTTTTAGCTTTTAAGTATTTAATATAGAATCAAACGAATTCAATAATATCTTAGTCAACGTCTCAATTATTCACTATACCTATTCATATTTTGAAAACAATATATAAATATATAGTTGTTTTTACTATGTAAAACATCTTTTTTTTTACAACTATTGTTTTAGGATTTTTTTTCTTCCTTCCTTTTTCACATTAATTCATGATATTTTTATATCCATAAAAAAAAATCAAAAGACCGTTTATTTGTTAACCATCTCATAACACAATATATATTGGTTTGTATTAATTCAAAAGTTATAATGATAGATATCTATTAATTATAATGATTACCAACTAAAATTTTAAGAAAGTCCATCTTAAAAATTGATAGTCTGCCATTTTTTCCCAAATCAAATGTATCACAATCCATGGATATTGGTCAAACATGTTATTCTCACACAAGTCGCTTTATCACAAGTCTTCCGTACTTTTCGTACATATATAACACTATTCATTCCCCAGTAAACAAAAACGGAGTCGTGGGACCACATGCGTGGGCGAGGGAATCCCTTTTTCATTTGGATTTTAAGCACCACTAGAGTCTTGTGCGGTGCATTCTATGGATTATTTGCGCCCCACGCGAA